TAAAGGAAGTGGTTTGAGCCGTTGGATATGAGTTGTTTTTTGATTGGATGAGTGAGATTGATTGTCCGGTGAAATGGTCAAACTTGGAAAAAAATTTGATTGTGCTCATTTGTTCTATGCGGCCACAACTTTTGGCTTCATATATGAGAAATTTGGTCAAGTCTAAAGACAGAGAGAGAGAGAAAAATATATATATATGAGTAGATATTAACGGAAAAAATCATCTTGACCAAGGAATTTAACGATTGGTAAAGCTTGGTCAACAAGTCTGTTTTAATTAAAAATGCCGTTAATAACTTTTTCTATATACAGTTTTATAAATAAATGTCTTCTGTTTTGCAATAAAATGAATTTGTTTTTGAGCTAATAGATTTATAAATAAAGCTTTTTTTTTTTTTTTTTTTTTTATGATCAGGGATTCTAGGTTAGCTTACGCGTACTAAAGATCAAGTAATCTTCTGGGATCCTAAAACTATTAGTCGGATAAGACTTCAATGGCTACCTCTATTAACAATTGAGGAGAAACTTGAACTCGGGATCTCTTAAATAATACACCTAAGAGTTTTCATCAAACCATTCCGCACCCAAAAATAGTTTAAATAAACAAAGCTCTTCCCTTTATTAATACTTTCTATAATAGTATAACCACACATGGAATATGCAGACCATTAATAAATTGTTAAACAAAAGTTATTTATTAGTTAGAAAGCTAAACAATATTGATAGAGGTGATGTATGATGCCGGTTAAATGCAATTCACACTCAAACTGAGACACAACAACATGAATGAAAGAAACATAAAATTGAAATTGCACAAAAATGAAATTCGATCTTTGACTAGTCAATAAATAAGTAATTCAATTGATCTTTTATGGTCAGTCAAAAAGGTGGGAGCTAGAATAGACTTGGAAAAAAGAGTCAACTTGTGAAATTGAGTAGGTTTGGGATTACTGTAATTTACGCTCACAATTTCTCCAGCTATGATTAAATCTCTTTGTAAGTATGTCATGCTTCCTTTTACTATTTCACTTTTATTTAAGGACACATTTCACAGAAATTTCACACCATCACAATTTTCCAACTATACTTAACAACGATATTGGTGTCAAAATAATCATATTTTAACACAATATCTATTCCAAGTTCCAACGATTTGTTTTGGCAGTGGATGCGATGTTTGGCTGAGATCTAACAAAGAAAGTTCGGGTGGCCGTATTTCCTTTATCATATCTCCGTCAAACTACATCCCTGTTTCAATTAATATTTATATAGATAGATCGATCGTTAAAAAAAGATCATTTTAATATAGATTTTATTGACTTTATGCTTCCGGTCACTAGTTACCGACGGCCGCGACTGATTATTAATATAGTTTATAGAATTATATTATAATTTAATCTTAATACTATAGCCTAGAATATTAAATAATCAATATAAGGTTATATTAGTATATATAAATATAAAAGTTAATTTAGATATCATTAATTTTAAAAAACAGACACATTATATATATCTTAAGACTATTGATTATTATGTGACACTAAAATCCATTAAGTGTTAAGTGAAAAAACAAACACAACCTCAGTGTGTCTATAAATTGGAGTCTGAGGAAATTTATAAAACAATGGAAAAGAAAGAGGAATGGAAAGTAATTGATGTATTGATCCTCTAGAATTGAAATTAATTTATGGCTTGAACTTATTTGGATTGAATATAAAAAAGAGAATTTTTATTAATTACTGAGAATTCTATCAAGGAAAAAATTTGATCCCATCTAGCTAAAATTATATGCTTTTATAGTCATATCGATCTTAGAGGTAAAATTTTAAAGAATAATGCTAGGTCTACAACCCAATCTTACAATTTTCTCTCACAACCTCCAACGTGGCAGCTCGTCATTGGTTAGCTTACAAAATGGGTTTCACCTGCTTATATGAGTCTTGTCTATCCATTTGCGAACTAACAAATGATGAGCCGCTACATCGAGGATTATAAAAAAAGTTATGAATCTAATATTATTGAATTTTGAAAATCTTTAGTACAATTGTTAAATTCCCATTCACACAAAATGACTGAGACATGTTTTCTCCCTTGCTAGGCTGGACTCTTTAGTCGACATCGCCTTTCATTTTCTATTTTTGGGCCTTCCTTCTGGGCTTACTAAGTGACTGTACCCTATATCTCAGTTTACCAATATTGGTTCAAACCCACTAAGCTCAAAATTCACGACAAATTATGTTGGTAGGTGTAAATCAAGAAAATATTTAAAAACAATAGTGAAAATATCTAAATAACGTTAATGCATAATGAAAAGTTAACAAGGGGTTATCCTATTAATGGTGCCTGGTAATGCAGTTTAAGTTAAGCAAAGCATAATTTGTCTATTTTTAGTTTCCATAAAGAGGAATCAAATAGAATTGTATATGCTTACATATAATATTTTATAAGCATACTGGGACCTCAATTATTAGCATGGTCCGGCTTTTTTTAAATCATCTAATTGCAAGAATGAATGCTTTGGCAATAAAGTTACTTTACTTCCTTTATAAGGCTTGTTATTGGATTATTTTTCACTAACAAAGACGTTAAAGAGTAGTCATCCGTTCATAAAATAATCCCTGTGGATATATTTTTTGTTATTAATTAAAGAATATTTGGCTATTTTTTAATGGTAGCTACGGACTCTTTATAGTGTTATAAATTTGCATTTGCACATAATTTCTTGTCACAAACATAAACTGTCGAGCTAGAAATGCATGATTCACGTATAGATAAAAAAAATCAGAAAACCTTGGAGCTTGTTATCGATGAAACTATAGAATGAAGTTATTCTTTCAGGAGGCTATTATATTAAGGGATATAGGAGAACTTGTGCTATCTCATTCCACACTTCAGTGCTTCGTTCACGACTCCATTTCAAATCATTATTGTTTTCCGTCTTGATTTTGTCATCTACAAATTCTGGCATCTCAAATCTCAAGTCACCTAATTTGGAGTTACTCTCAGGTGCAATTTTCTCTTTTATGTTATTTGCAATTTTTCTCTTCTCAAATACGTCATTTTTTTTTTTTTTTTGGTAAAATCAAACACATCCGAGTCTTCTAGTTTAAGAGTATCTCTGGCCACCATGAATAATACTACAAAAACTCTTTTATAACTCACTATTTAATTGACACATCATTCATCTAATTTGTTGAGTATTTAATGAGTTGACTTTTTATTTACATTCATCTATTCATTTTATGAAAAATAAAGTTGTATGAAATGGTGTTTGTAAAAATAGTATTATTTAACCACTACCGGTTATCACCCTAACAACTAACAAACTTGCTAAATTATATGATGCTAGTAGACTAGTTTAGGGTAAGTATTTAGGGTGCACAGTACTCGACTAGAGTAATTTTATGGGGTTGTACTAAAATGAATAACTATAGATTGAATTAGATTGGACAAGAATCATAATAGGATATTATATTTGATGAAGTATTTCATCAGACAAAACTATCTATATGATTAAACATTTCAAATTTTACTAATTAATTAATTTGAATAAAAATTAACTAAATACTTTGAATTTTAATTTAACTATAAAATTATTTATATTTATTATAAAAATGTTAAAAAAATTATATTTATTTATTAAATTATTATTATATATTTGTAATATTCAATACTAATTATAATAAAATATTGGAATATATTTAAAACTGCAAACATCATTTGCATGAGGCTCTAGAAAAGAAGATCCGTGAGGGGCCACGGGTTTCTTTTTGTGTTCATTGTTTGGACTAAAAAGAATTCAGTCCCAACTTCAAATAATCCAAAGTTGTTCTAAACATGGGATTAAAGGCACTAATTTATTAAGTTATAATATATGATTCCATCCTCTTCGTAGAAGTTATTCTTAAGGCATTTTACGTTATTTATTTAATTTAATTATCGACAAGCAGTCAGCTTTGTCTTTTGCATTTTCTTTAAAGAGTCAATTCTTTATTAACGTATTGACTAAATCAAACTTCCTGGTTTGGCATCCTAAGTTCTTAGCTAGGCACTCCCTTTATTATTATTATTATTATTATTATTATTATTCACTGAGCACACACAAACACACACATATAATAAATTTCTCTCGTAGACATAGTTTTTCTGAAAACAAGACTTTTTGAACTCTTGTTAACAACAATTAACTCTTATTAGTGAAAATTAAATTATCACATATAAAATTTTGTTTTTTAGTAGTAGAAAAGTATAAAACTTTCAAGATTTTGCCTTTTATTAATGAGACTTTAAGTCTAGATTTTAGTTTCACATCTGAAAATTTTCATATAGATATAATCAGGAGTCCTTTTTTCCTCATTGTATGTATATATAGTACATCTCTCTTGCAAATATTTTGGTTTTTTAACATCCAAACTTGAATTCTCACTAGCTAGCAAGAGTTTAATTTGTGAAGTGAAACAGAGTTAACCTCATGCGAGAATTTAAATCTGAATTTTAAGTTGTATTCATATAGAATTATACATATAATAAACTTGCATTTACAATAAATAAATATAAAGATCTGAAATATAGAGACTAATTTTTTTTTTTTTTTTTTTCAATTTTGTTTAGCAAGTATTGCGCTCATAATTTACAAACACATGTAGTCTCCGTCCGGAAATCTATGCATAGATGCATGCTTGTTCTTTAGAACTATGCAGAAGTCTACAGTGATGATAAAATGAATCATCACAAGTCACAGTATAGTTTATTAGCATTGTTTTATTTGTAATTTTTTCTAAAAAGATTTTATGTTGCCTGCAGTTGTATCGTCGGAAAGAAGAGATGGCTTTGCAATCTTTTAAGAACATATGATCAAACTTTGGGATGGATGGGAAATTCGACTGTTGGTTTTATTGAGTCTTTTTGTACAAATCATCCTCATCATATTTTCTCAAAGAAAATATAACAGAAGAACTTGGATCAATCTCCTTGTTTGGTTAGCATACTTGACAGCAGACATGTTGGCAACAGTAGCTCTCGGTTTTCTAGCTCGCAGCCGAAGAGATTCTGCAGCTGATAATGTTTTAAAGCTCCAAGCATTTTGGGCACCTTTCCTTCTGCTGCACCTTGGTGGCCCCGATACTATCACAGCTTACGCCTTAAATGATAATGAGTTTTGGCTAAGACACTTTCTTCAGTTTGTGTTCCAAGTTGGAGTAGCATTTTATGTCTTTATACCATCTTGGAGGAACAAAGATGCTTTCAGATTTATGGCCATTCCAGTGTTTATTGCTGGAATAATTAAGTATGGAGAGAGAATTTTGGTGCTCTACTCTTCAAGCGCCAAGCAAGTTAAAGATTCCTTGCGTTCACCTCATGATTTTTCCAATGATCCTCTAAAACTAGAGAATCGTGAGAAAAAAGAAGGGTCTGAAAAGAAGTCAACAGATCCTTCAAACCTAGAGGACAAAAAAGAAGAGTATGAAAAGAAGTTAACTTGAAGAGGTAAATAATTACCTCATTGAAGCTGTTTCCTTGTTCAAAAAGTTCAGGTGTCTCTATGCCGATTTAGTTCTCGATCATGATGAAAGAAAAGAAACTTACTCTCTTCTCAGCAAGAAGTCAGCCAAAGAAGCCTTCAAATTGGTAGCAACTGAGCTTGGATTCATGTATGATGTGCTCTACACAAAGACAACCGCAATTTATTCCATGTGTTGAATCTGTCTGGTCTCCCATATTTTTGTATCAATTATCTTCTTAATCATTATTGATAAGTCTTCCTATTCACCAAGTGACATCTCCATAACTTATGTACTATTAGTTGGAGCTATCTTTCTGGAGGTTTATGCATTCATCGTGCTTCTTTTCTCTGACTGGACAAAATATTGGTTGACCAAGCGTAATTATATGTCCATTAATAAATGTTCTATTGGTTTACTCTCCAACGACAACAAAAGGTGGTCAGGATCCATTGGTCAGTACAATCTATTAAATTTTTCTCTTTTTGAGTACAAATTTTTCGAAACTTCCTCGATGATGGAAGAGACTATGAAGCGATTTGGAATCAAAGAACTGATAGAGAAGTGCGGATATTTGAGTTGGAAAGAAGTGGATAATGGCCTGCTAGAAATGATCTTCAAACAGTTTCTTGAGAAAAGCAAAGACATTAAAGAAGATCCTTTTGATAACAAGAAATTGAAAGAATTGTTAGGTTGGAGAGGTGATTATGTGCTAAGCAAAAGCAACTATGTTAATGAATCTCATGGGAGTACAATTGAGGTGGAGTTTGATTACTGTCTTCTTCTTTGGCACATCACTACTGATCTTTGTTGTTACGATGATATCCGTAACCTGAAAGAGGTCAAAAACCTCCACCAGAATGCAAAATTAGCAAAGGGTTATCAGATTATATGTTATATCTTTTAATCATATGTCCAACCATGTTGCCTAAAGGGATTGATGAGATAAGATATAAAGATACATGCCGAGAAGCCATGAGATTTTTCAGAAATATAAAATTTGATTCATCCCTTGATATAAACTATGATTCATCCTATAAAAGTACAGTTTGCAAGGCTTTTCTTGAGAACTTTGGACAAAAGGATGGCAATGGTGGTCTGTCTGTTGGACGTACTCAAGAATCAAGACCAAGTCAACTCCCTACTTTTTACACTTTTTAGTTTTGTAACAATTTTTAGTTTCCATTCACCGTGTTTGTTAATTAGTTTCCTACTTTTCTGTATATTTTAAATTTAAATCTTCCTTGTAATCTCCCTATATATTATTGCGATCATTGAATGAATAACACAGTTCAAAATCATTACTTTTTCTCCTATCGTGCTTGCCATTTTCACATGGTATCAGAGCAATAAATTTTTTTCTCTCAGAGTATTTCTTCACCATGTCTAATGCAAATCTTACCCCTAACATCACATCACCATCATCATCTCCACAGTCATCAATACCCATCAAAACAGATCCTTATGCTATTCATCACTCAGATAGCCCTTCTACTGTTCTTGTTACACCTTTATTGACAAGAGACAATTATGGGCCATGGAGTCATGCAATGACAATGGCACTTCGTGCCAAAAGTAAGCTGGGTTTTGTTGATGGGTCACTTCCCATTCCACAGGAGAAAGATGATATTTCCAACTGGGAACGATGTAATGATTTGGTTAGAAGTTGGATTCTTAATTCAGTCCCACCTGAGATCCGTCCAAGCATCTTGTATGTTGAAACTGCAGCACGAATTTGAACAGATCTTAAGGATCGTTTTTCTCAATCAAATGCTCCTAAGATCTATCAATTGAAACAATCAATCTCTTCCATCAAGCAAGAAGGTATGTCTGTTTCATTATATTTCACACAACTCAAATCCTTATGGGACAAACTCAGTTCCATTGTCTACGTCACTCCATGTATCTGTGGTAATGCTAAAAGCAGTATTGACCAGCAAAATTAAGATAGTGCCATGGAGTTTCTTCAAGGACTCCATGATCATTTTTCAGCAATTCGCAGTCAAATTCTCTTGATGGAGCTGTTCCCTTCAATTCAACGTATCCATAATTTGGTACGTCAATAAGAAAAACAACAAGAGATTAATATTCGAACAACTCCTACCATTGATTCGGCAGCGTTTCAGGCGTTTAAACCACATTCTCGGCCATCGGGAAAGCGTCAACGTCCTTTTTGTGAACATTGTAACAAGCATGGTCATACTTTTGCCACATGCTACCAGATTCATGGCTTTCCAAATATGCAGGTGAAGAAATCAGGGCCACCTCCATCCACTTCCGCTACTAATCAATTAACACCTGAACAATAAAACAAGCTTCTTTCACTTTTATCCAAAGAGTAATCTGGTGGATCATCAGTCCATTTGGCAAGTACAATTCTCACTTGTTTGTCATCTTGTTGGATTATTGATTCAGATGCTTCTAATCATATATGTACATCTCTTTCATTTTTTTCTTCATATTCTACTGTTCATAAAAGCATGGCAATTCAATTGCCTGATGGTTCTCATGCCCCTGTGACACACATAGGCACGGTTCATTGTTCACCATCACTTATTCTCACTAATGTTTTTCATATTCCATCTTTCTAATTCAATTTGTTATCTACTTCACAATTAACCAATTCAACAAATTCGCAATAATAATGGGAAATTTCTTAACAATGAAATCAAAATGAGACCTAGATGGATGACCAAGGCGAGAATGCCATAGGTCAAATTTATTACAATGCTTGAATGAAAAAAAAGGATTAAAAACTAAATTTGCATCTAGGTAAAAAAGACCATTTCGAGCACTACCCAGACTAATCTTCTTCTTCGTTGCTCGATCCTGAAATATACATTCAGAAGATGAAAAGAATACATCACAATTTGTTGAATTGGTTAATTGTGAAATAGATAACAAATTGAATTTGAAAGATGGAATGTGAAAAACATTAGTGAGAATAAGTGATGGTGAACAATGAACTGTGCCTATGTGTGTCACAGGCGCATGAGAACCATCAGGCAATTGAACTACCATGCTTTTATGAACAGTAGAATATGAAGAAAAAAATGAAAGAGATGTAAATATATGATTAAAAGCACCTGAATCAATAATCCAACAAGAGGACAAACAAGTGAGAATTGTACCTACCAAATGGACTAATGATCCACCAGATTCCTCTTTGGATAAAAGTGCAAGAAGCTTGTTGTATTGTTCAGGTGTTAATTGATTAGTAGCAGAAGTGGATGGAGGTGGCCCTGATTTCTTCACCTGCATATTTGGAAAGCCATGAATCTGGTAGCATGTGGCAAGAGTATGACCATGCTTGTTATAATGTTCACAAAAAGGATGTTGACGCTTTCCCGATGGCTAAGAAGGTGGTTTAAACGCCTGAAACGCTGCCGAATCAATGGTAGGAGTAGTTCAAATCTCTTGTTGTTTTTCATCTTGACGTACCAAATTATGGATACGCTGAATTGAAGGGAACGGCTCCATCAAGAGAATTTGACTGCGAATTGCTGAAAAACAATCATGGAGTCCTTGAAGAAACTCCATGGCACGATCTTGATTTTGCTGATCAATATTGCTTTTAGCATTACCACAGATACATGGAGTGACGCAGACAATGGAACTGAGTTCGTCCCATAAGGATTTTCACACTGTCAGTGCTATTTCATGCATGTATGCTTGCCAAGCAATTGCAGGAATTGAACATCTTGGGAGATGACAGTGGGAGGAATCATAAGTGGGAGATAATTAGCGAGGTGTGGATTGAAATGATGGGATATCCCGCAAGTCATTGTGGATGGAAAGAGGATGGAGAAAAACTTGTGAATGGTGGAGAGTTACTCACTCACATGTGTCTTTTTATGGCACGTCTTGGTTTAAGTGAACAATATCAAATCCAAAAGCAACCAATTGGAGAGCTAAGCTTTTTGAAGGATTACAATGGTTCGCTTTCTTTACTATCGTGTTAATCTTGGGTGCCCCAATAATGTTCGTAGGGACAGCGTCCTTGCTTATTTATAGGTCTCTCTCTCTCTCTCTCTCTCATTTAAATTATATGAAAAAATTTCATGATCTCACTTTCTGCATTCTGTTTCCATGTTCAATGCAGGTCTTTACGAAAGAGATTGCAGAAATGGTTTCCATAAACAAATATTATTCTAGTAATGTCCTTAATCTTACAATCTTGGTAGGATTCAATTGTCCTATTTTTCGCCTATTCATTGCCAGAAAAATTTCATCCTTCAATTTTTTTGAAGTCCGTTATCGATATTGTTTACTTATCTAGTGTTCTATATGTATAATCCTACAATTATTAATTCTGTTAAAAGTAAAATATGAAACCAATTACACAGCTATTTCTAGTTATAATAATTCATAAATATTCATACACCAATTACTTGATCGTAGTAACTGTGGTATGTAGCATATTTATATAGTTTTTATTTAATAAATTATGACTTTAGATTTTTAATGCTGATCTTATTGACTTTTAAATTTTCACGAAATTGTTCTAGATAGTGACATCGAGGGATAAAGCAGCAGAGAAGAGTTGAAGTTAGTCCATGCTGCAGCTCGAACCTAGTAGTTTTAGTTTGTTAATGTCAGATTTTAAGCTAAATTAAATTTAATTGAAGTTTGTGAATATGATTATCACCATATCTTTCATTTGGATTGCGTCGGTTAAGTTATGAGATTTTGTGTTGTTATACCCTTTTAAAGAAAGAATCAACCAACACAAGCAACAAATCAAGATCAAGAATCAAGCACACAGTACAAACAGATTTACCGTGGTTCACTTGCTCTAAGATTGAGCAAGCTACGTCCACGTTGAACTCGAGAATCACACGAGCTCGCTGCACTAAACTGTCAAGTTTACAGATTACACAATAAGCAACACAAGTCACTCTAGAAACCCTCCTTCAACCCGTAACCAAACCCTAGAGATACACCCTTCGAATCCCTAAGAGCAGTGTATACAATACACCCAGAAATGACCTAACCAGTCACTCAACACTCAAGTTACAGGAAACACTCAACCCAAACTGTAGAAACCCTAAAGGTTTAACAATGGTGTTTTACCGAAGAAGAGAGAGTAATCGTCAAAACGAAAGACTAATCTGCCTTGCATAAACTGCCAAAAATAATTCTGCTTTTATATGGGAACATTAGGGTTATATGACATCCGTTGGATCTCCCTTTTTCATCAACGCTCAGGATTGATTCTGTCAGTTGGAGCAAAACGACGTCGTTCCACTTAAGTGTCAATACGGTAACGTTTCAAGCCATCATCCAACATGTGTTTTTCTCTCTTTTTTTCGTATCAGATTCTCCTTCAGTATTGTTTTTTATGTCTGATAAGTTTTATAGGTAATATAAGGGATATTATATTCCTAATTGGGCTCAAATTTTCATTCCCAATATAATCCATATTTCAATTTACAATTATATTTTTCTTTAAATTAATATTCTTAAAGAGATACAATTTCACATAGAAACGTTTAGAAAAACGAGCCATAATAGTCCAACACTTATACCTAAAAAACCAAGTTGTTAAGTTTCCACTGTGTTTGAAACATGAATATAATGAAGAGAGCATTTAGAATTATTAGTCTCCTTTTATTTGTATTTGTTAGAGTTACAGTGATTTCCAATGCATCACTGATCAACTGATTAAGTATGAATGAATTGGGCAGATGAGGAAATTCAAACAAAACAATAATAATAGGGGGTAAATTATTATTTCAAATACTAATTGAGAAAAATTGTTATTCAAGGGAAGGAAATTTTCTTGTACTCTTGGTTAAAGACAAGCTCATTCATCTATCCATGCCCAAATCTGGGCTTTGTCATGGGCCTTTCCGAGTGGTGCTATTAGCACACTTTGTATTAACTAAACAACCCGCACCTCCTTTT